ATATTGTATTATTGAAAGTAAAAACAGCAAAACTTTATTATAGCTTCGTTTATTATTTATGCTTTAAGGTAAACCGTCAACACTTTCGTCAGCTGTTGCAAACCCGTTCTCTGATCCCACGCCCCCGAAGCCGTCAATAAATCAGATAAAACAGGTACCGTTCCAGCCGGCGCAATTCACCCCCACATCCACACCTGCTTATCCCACATCAGGTCTGGGGGTGGCTTACGTTCCACCACAACCGACCTCGCCTTACGCTATCAGTCCCCAGTTTGCCACTTCCGCCACTAGCGTGCCGTTCGCTTCACCCACCACTTTTGGCCCCACGGGTTCCGCTGGGCAGCCAACGAACGATCCCTGGGCACCGATCGGGACTTCGGCGAGTCCGTGGGGTGTTAAACCACGAGAACAAGCTAATCCATTCTTGTCATAACAACGTAACGACCGTGGTCTGTTGCTGATCAATAACAATAAATTGTAAGTAGCCCTTTTCATTTTTTAATTTTTTTTAATTGTATTAATGGCGGTTCACCCCCTAAAGCAATTTTTTGGGAGATGTAAAAATGAATTTATTTTATTGTAATGGATTGTTAGGGTTCTGTGTCAAAAAAGATTGATTGAAAGATTAATACAGTGACTAGGGTGTCCGTTCTATTAAACTAATTTATAATGCCATTGATTTAAGGCAGTTTTGAGCCTGCTTGCCTCCCATTTAAGGCCGATGAGGAATTTTCATAAGAAAAAAAATCTCGGCATAAAAAAATACTGTTGATTTTAATGTAGTAGGTTAAAGAAATGATACGTTTTTGAAATCGTTATCTTTAGCAACGTATTCGTTAATATACTAAACCTTCGGCTCGTGAGTGAAATTTGTATTCATTTGATTTTTTATTTACAGGTTGAGCATATTGAATAATAAACATCCAAGTTAATTGAGTATTAGAGGTACAACTTGATATTGTGTAAAATTATATAAAAAAAAGTGGTGCGAAGTACTAGATAGGAATTTTTTGAAGTACATATATAAATAGAACAGTATGAATTTTGCTTTACATGTACATTTTCCGAGTCATTCTGTTTTTATTCTTTTTTTTAGTCAACGGAAACGTTCAAACTAATCAAATGTCGTTTCTAAAATTTGTCTTCATTTTTATTTAATTTTTTTTTGCTTATCACACGCGAACGTATTGTGATCCATATTGCTCATTATTTTTTTTTATTTTTTTGTATTACTATTCGACGTTGCTCAGTGTATTTAGCGATGTATTCTTATCTTACACTTTTTTATACTACAGATTTTATATCATCTTAGATGATGAAACAATTCTAAATAAAAAAAAGGATTAAAAATAATATAACACAATAATAACATATAAATATACTTTTCACGGCTGGCACGTGAACTTGTGCACTTTTAAGAACTTGCACGCAGTAAAAACACCAAAAATCATTTATTTTTTTATTACTACTGTTATTATTATTTATGTTTTATGCCTATCGTTGTTATTAATTAATCTATTATTCTTTTTGCTGTCACGCTTTGTAGAAAACGCTTAGTTTACATAAATTATGTTTGCAGTGGAGAACGCTATTAAAGGTGTATTTGTTCATGTGTTTTGCGAATAACAAGGACGTGGTTGCAACAAACTTATTATACAGGGTGGAGGGCGATTGGCTTTAGTTAAAGTCAAAATCGGTGTGTTTAAAATACGTACTTGCTTACCTATACATGTTTTTAATTAATAGACACCTTCTACATATGTATTCTAATGTAATACAAAGAGTCAATAGTTTTATTTACTATTATTTTTAACAGTTGTATATTTTTATTATGGTATTTAAAATGAAAAAAAAAAAAAGCTAATCGTACCTTGTGCTGTAAAAGTTTGATGTTTCATGATGTTACAAAAATTGTTCACTTTATTATTGAACATAAGCTCTTTAGTATTTTATTTTTTTTGTTCTTTTACTGCTTTAAGGCCTAAAAATTGTTGTTGATTAAATACAGCAATACTCCTTATCAGTTTTACCCCTTTTTATTGTTAATAAATAATAATAACCGTTCTAATCAAAATGAAAGTCTGAAATTTTTGGAAAGATGTAATAAATAAAAATAATTAACGCTAAGAGAAGGTACAAACACACCAGTGTTGTTTTGTTGTTAGTTGGAGTNAAGTTCCTATATCGTCACGTTTTATATACATATATATATTTTTTATTTCTAAATAACAGCTTGAAATCTTAACTTGATTTAAACGAATGTATAGGGTGACTCGTTTTCACATGGTGTTGCAGTATCCCATGTCTCTTGTGAAAAAGGAATTACTCTGTATATCGATGGAATGAAAAGTATAGCCTTAATTTTAATAAGATATACATATTAATAAAAAAAATCCGTCGTCGTTAAACACAGACTGATGTGTGTCTATAAATAAATGTGAAATAATGTTTTTATATGCTGATATTCTTTTTATAAGTGATAAATAATTAAGAGAGGCATGTCGGGAACCAGTATATTATATAACTTTAAAAGTTCTCTTTAGTATTATTACTTTAATTAATGAATTAGTTTCAACAACATGAAATATCAAATAAATATTTTTACATACATAAGTTGTCTGGAAAGTGTAATCGGGGAAAACAGATGGAAAATATAATTTTACTGTAATTGCTTTTTCTTATCTGGTTCTTAACATGGTACTGAGAATGTAGTTTAAGTGAGCCATAATAGATGAGAAGGTTTATATAGATTTTTTTCTTGAAAATTGTTATTCACTATGCAATTTTTGCTGAAAAATATTTAATAGTGTCTTTAGTCGTTACTATAAAGTTATTAAAAATTTCCAGATTGTCTACGATTATTCTTTCAATGGATGATGTTCATAATATTGTCTCACATTTTTAAAGTAGCTCCTCAATTGAAATGTATGAATATGTGAGTAGAATCTTAAACATTTGAAGATCTGGTTGCTCCTTGAGTATCGGTTTATCATATACTTTTGTACACTCACCTTTTGCGGAGTTGTCTGTTGCTATCGAGACTCTTGAGAATGGACTCAAAGAGGTTCTATTCACATTTTTATGCTTATTAAACGGAGTGGCTACTTTTAAAATGTTCGAATATACTACACGCTAAA